ACATGCTGTCTTCAGTCACAGAATGTTAGAGCCAAAGAGAACTTAAAAAGAAAATAGAATGCCAGAGTGAGAAGGGATCTGAAAGAGAAAGCAAGTACTTCATCTTTCCCCCTAGTTTGGTTTTTTTTTTCCTTTTTTTTTTTTAAGTGATCAATCAGGATTAAGTGACTTGCCCAGGGTCACAGCTAGTCAAGTGTCTGATGTCAGATTTGTACTCAGGTCCTTCGGACTCCAAGGCTAGAGCTGTATCCACTGAGTCCCACCTCCTTTTACAAAAGAGAAAACTGAGACTCTGATCAGGCAGTGACTTGGTCAAGGTCACAAAAGCCAAGACTAGAAATGAAGTCTGCTGGCTCCAATTCATGGCTCCTGTTCCTTTTCCCCACTGGACCAGGCTGCTCACAGTCTGAGTCAAGGGATGCCACCCTTGTACGTAGGAGAGTGGAGCACAAAATTATTTCATTTCTGTTTGGTGAAGAGTAGAAAAGGGAGAAAACACAGAGACATTTTTTTTTCTTCACTGAAATACATGGCAAGAGCCCTCTGGGGAATAGCTTTCTGTTGGGAGCCGTCTTTACAGAAATGCTGATCTTCAAAGTCAAGTACAAATGCAAAGACGCTCTGGGAGTGAGTGATCTGTGCAAATCCGAGAGCCTTTACATAGGCTACACCCAGGCTGGAGGAGTCGGGGCAGGGCACCTTGGAGCCCCTGCCTGACTCACAGTTCCCCACACATCCCGCCTCTAATTCACTTTGCCAGACACCTTTCCCACCAGGAGCAGGCTGACAAGACAAAACAGACGGCTGCCCGTGCCCCTTGGCCTCGACCTTCCCTGATGGATCAAATAACAGATCAGCACAAAAGGGAGGCTGGGGAGGAGAGGGCATATGGAGGGGAAACAGGCACCCACACAAAGGAATAGATACAGGGGCAGATGCAGGCAGACTGACAGAGACACAGACACAGACCAAAGAAATACCGAAAGTGACTGATGGAGAGAGCAAACATAAAAAGACACACAGAAAGTCAAACAGTAGTAGATAGACAGACACATAGGTACAGGAAGATAGAGAGAGAAAGAGAAACTGAGACAGAGACACAGAAAAGAGACAATGAGGAGTATAGAGGGACAATATTAAGCTTAACCTTTGGGAAAGAGGAATTATTTTAAATAGCATGTCCCAAAAGTCTTAGTGCAGCTTTAAGCTTGCTCAAAGCTTTGCTAAGACTTGTGGGACACCCTGTACTGTGTACTAATTTATCTTCTATGGGTGTATTATAATCTTCCCAATAAAATGTGAGCTCCTTGAGGTCAGCATCTGTCTTGTTTTCATCTCTGTATCCCCAGTATCCAGAGCACAGACCATGGCACAGAGTAGCTTAATAGTTGCCTATTGAATTGAATTTGAATGAACTGTGTTGGCCTTGGAGTCCTTGGAAACACCAGCAGCCAGCTTCCTATGTATCCTAGGAGAACTAGTTCCAGAACTGGGGGTGTGGTAAGCAAAGGAAGGAGATTCCAAGCTTCAGTTGGCACCCAGATAATGAATACCTGAGACCCATTTTAAAGGGGATTCACAGGGGAACTACCTAGCAGAAACAAAAGCACCCATGGGTGACGGCGCAATAAAATAGTAGGAACAGTTCTGGACTGAGAGCCTAGAAGTCTGTGTCTTCACATCTCAGCTCTGACTATGATCCTAGGCACTTGAACCTCTCTGAGTGTCAGATTCCTAATCTTTCAAGTGGAAATTACAATACTTGTACTACTTACTCCTTACAAGGTCATTATGAAGAAATTGGTTTGTGGGGTTCTTAACCAAACAAGGGACAGAAGCAGTTAAACATAAAATAGAAATTAATTTTACTTAGATTTAATAGAAGGTTTGTGTTAACAAAATCAATGCAAGCAAGATAAGAAAGGAAGCTCCTAACCGGAGAAAATCTTTGCATCAAATATCCTGATAATGGTCTGATATCCAAAATATATAGGGAGCTAATACAAATATATAAAACCAAAGACCATTTCCCAGTGTGTAAACAATCAAGGAATTTAAACAAACAGTTCTCAAAAGAATTATAAACAACTACAACCATCTGAAATATTGTTCCAAGTTGCCAATAATAAGAGAAATGAAAATCAAAACAACTCAAAAATTTTACCCCACATACAATAAATTGGCAAAGATGATAAAAGATGGGAATAGTCAAAGTTGGAAGGACAATGGAAATACAGGCATATGCAATCATGGGAGTGTAAATAGGTCCGACCATTCTGGAAAGCAATTTAGAATTATGTTTTAAAAAGTGACTAAAATGTCCGTGTGCTTTGATCCAGAGGTTCTACTGGGCTTATGTGCCAAAGAGGCCAAAGATAGAAATAAGTGTTCAAAATGCTAGAAATGTTCATAGCAACACTTTTTTTTAAGTAGCAGAGAACTTAGGAACAAAGTAGATGCCTTCAACTGGGGAGTGGCTAAACTAATTGTAGTACTACAATGGAATATAATTGTGCAAAAAGGAATGACATATCAAAAATACAGAGAATCATGAGAAAACTTACATGATCTGATACAAAGTAAAGCAAGTAGACTCAGGGAAGCAACATTTTAAAATGACTACATTGTAAATGGAAACAATAACAACATAGAAACACTACCAGAGAATGAAAAAGTGAAAACGGCAAGTTTCAGAGCTGAATTTGAAGACTTAGGCCTCCAGACCCAGGCCTCCCTTGTAGGAATGGGAGCTTTTTCAGGCTCTCTGCTTGGGGCAACTAGGTGACAGAGTGGATAGAGCACCAGCCCTGGAGTCAGGAGGACCTGAGTTCAAATCTGGCCTCAGATACTTACTAGCTGTGTGACCCTGGGCAAGTCACTTAACCCCAATAGCTCCAAAAAAAAAAAAGAGGTAAGGTTCATGGTTAGAACTGAAAAGAATTTGCCTAGGTTTGGAACCTGGATCTCCTGCTTATCACAGCAGTAATGTGATATGAGGCCAGTTCTTTCCCTGTTCTGAATCACATTTTTCCCCACCAATAAAAGGAAGAAATTGAATGAGATGATCTTTAAGTCCCCTCTTCCAATGTCCTGTATCAGATCCATTTTAAATAAATGCTGCATTAAAATAAGGTCAGTCCAGATGAAGTCTACCTATCTGGTGCCATGTCCAAAACTGTTATAGCTCTTGTGGGTAACAGCTTCAGTCAGTTTCAACTGGTCATCATCACAGATGGGTTTTTTTTTGCTTGAAGTGTGGGGTCAGTGAGATGCTACCATCCCCAAGCAAAAGGGGCAAGATCTAAATAACTTATGTAACTTTGGCAAATCTGTTCATTGTGCTGAGCTCCAGCTTCGCCATAGGTGAAATACAAACAGATCATAGAATCTGGACCTATAAAACACCTCACAAAACAAAATATGAGAGCAGGAATGACTTTAAAACAGAGAATCATGGGTTTTGACCTTAGAGGTCATCTAATTAATCAATCAGCAAGTATTTCTTAAATACCTCTGTGCCAGGTATTATACTAGTCAATGGGATTACAAAGATGAAAGTGACAGTCTTTGCCCCAAAGGTGATTGATTATATTCTATCAGGGAACTAATATATCCAACCTCTTCACTTTCAGAGGTGGAAGTTGTTGTCCAAAAAAGCAATATGGATAGCCAATGGAAGATCTGGTCATCTCACCCAGGTTCCTTGGACTTCCTCTTCCCAGTCCTGTTCCTGACTTTTTGAAGCCCAAAAACCATGGCTCTTTTCTCCTCCTAGGCTCAGCCTAAAATTTCCTAGTGACCAGGGCCTCCTCACCCTGGAACAGCCTACCACCCATACCACCGTTGCAGCCTGCTCACCCTGGAATATCCCTGTGCGAGGTCCACTCATCTTCTCCCATTGGTGAGTTCTTCCTGGAGCTTCCATTTTGTGGAAGGTCCTGAACCAGCTTGCCTTCATTCTCTTTCCTAGCACTGTACCTGATTTTCTAGACTTCCAAACTATACCTTCACCTGTCCCTTTCCAGCTCCCTTTTGTATATTATCTTCCTTATTAGAATGGAAGCTCCTTGAAGGCAGGCACTGTCTTTCTTTTTTATTGTATTTTTATTCCTAGCACTTAGCACAGTGCCCATCATATAGCAAGTGCTTAATAAATGCTTATGTATTTCCCTGACTCCATTATGCACCAATGAGTCAGAGAATTTTAAAGCTGGGGAGCATCTTAGATACTGTCTAGACCAGTGCCTTCCCCTCTTTGACAAGTGAGGAAGTTGAAGCTGAGGAAAAGGGGATTAATTTGATGAAATTTGTTGTTTGACCTTCATTCTTGAAGAGGAGCATGACATCAGGGAGGTGATGCCATGACATGCAAGTGAATTGGATTTAAGTGAGAGAGCGCTGTGCAAAGTCACCAGCCTCACTTTCTCTTCTGGATCCATCTGTGTCCAGTGACCAGATATCAATCAGGACAACTGGAGATGGCCCAGGATGCAGTAGAGGACCTTGGCCTTTTCAAGCTAAGGTCTTTAACAAGTCTCAGTTTGACTGAGGCAACACCCACCCAGTGATTAAGGCTTAATAAGAATTGAGACAGCACCTCTTTGCCTAGCACATAGCTAGTGAGTTCACAGGATTCTAAATTTAGAGCCAGAAGGGTCCTTAAAGGTCCTCTAGTCCAACTCTGACCCCCCCACACACACACACACCCCAAGCTGCCAGATGCAAGATATTGAAAACCACACCACCTGACTCTAGATTCAGTTATCTTTCCCATTATGTTACTGTGGGAGGTTTGAGGTTTGAGATGTGGTTTTCAGACTCTGCTTCCTGGGGAGCCCATCACATGCCTGGAGACCTTATGAAGGCTGGTACTTGCCTGTTAATTTCTCTTTAAGCTTTTGTTGGCAAAGTGGAAGTTAAAAATCCCAAACTCATTTGAATAACAGAACCCTGGGAAAAACACCCTCTAACCATGGAAAATGAATATTCAACATTCCCACCTTAGCTTCGTCTTGGTAGCCTGTTTCTCCACTGCATATTAAATGGTGCCATCACATGAAACGGGTGAGTGGTAGTTCTGCAAAAGAGAATGCTGCCATTACTGAGCTGCCAAGGCTCTAAATAGAGAACAGAAATCAGGCCCAAAGAGATGATCCCAGCAATCCAGCCCCCAAGGCAGGGGCCGAAAGAGCTCACACCATGGAGTCACATTCTCCCCAGGGTAGGCCCCAAAGACCATAGTACCACACAAGCATCCCTGGGTCTCATCACAGGACATAGCAGCCTAAAGCTGAACCAACAGCATATCCTGGTGGCCGGCTATAGAAGGCCCCAGACTTGGGACCCAGAACACCTGTAATGAGTGCCATGATGGTGGAGGGGGAAGAGTCAATATTGGGCTTCTCATTGTGACTCTACCCCTACTACTGTGTAATTTGGGGCAAATGACCTCTCTGGGCCTCAGTTTCATTAAGAGATCTTAATTTTTTATGTCATAGATCCCTTGGGCAGTATGGTGAAACCTGTGCATCTTTTCTCAGGATAAAAATACCCAAGATTACAAAGGAAACCAATTATATTGAAATACAGTTATCAAAATATTTTGTAAAACAAGCTCATAGACCCCAGCTTAAGAAACTTGGACAAATGATCTCTAAGGCACCTTCTAGATCTAAATCTGTGAAGTCTTAGGTTGTATGACCTTGGACAAGTCACTTCCCGTCTCTGAGACTCAGCTGTAATATGGAGGTGATCTAATTAATATTTACATAGCACCTTAAGGTTTTCAAAGTGCTTCTTGAAATATCCCATTTGATCCTCACAATAACTGCGTGAGGAAGAGGTTATTATCTCCATTTCATTGATAAGAAAACTGAAAGAATTCAAGTGACTTGCTTAGGTTACACAGCTAGTAAGTATCTGAGGCAGGATTGAAACTCAGACCCTGCTAACCCCAACTCCAGCACTCTCTTCACTATTCCACCTGACTGCCTCTGCCACAGCCATGGAGATCAAATGAGCAAATGAACAACATTTATAAGGCACAGTATAAAGTAGCACAGTAGAGAGAGTTCTGGAATTGGAATCATGAAGATATGAGTTCAGATCTAGTCTCAAATGGTTACTAGTTACATTGATCCCGGTAAGTCATTTAACTTCTGTCTGCCTCAGTTTATCTATAAAACAAGGAGATTAATAACACCTATTCCCCTCCAAGGTTGTTGTGAAGATAAAATGAGATAAAATTTCTAAAGCCCTTTGCAAATCTTAAAGAGCTTTGTAAAGGCTAGCTATGGTTGGTGTATCAGTGGAGCCTGAAGTCAGGAAGACCTAAGTTCAAATGTGACCTCAGACACATACTAGCTGGGTAACCCTGGGCAAGTCACTTCACCTTGTTTGCCTCAGTTTCCCCATCTGTAAAATGATGTGGAGAAAGAAATGGCAAACCACTCCAGTATCTTTGCTGAGAAAACCCAAATGGGGTCACGAAAAGTCAGACACAACTGAAAGGACCAAACAATAATAAGTTGGTGTTGTTGTTAACATCAAGGGATTGCCAGGTGAAGTGCTGCAGGAATCTAAGCAACTTATTAATAAACTGCTTCACAGTTTACGAAAGCAGTTCTTTTAGGTAGAGAGTATAGGTATTAGTGGAAAGTTCAGGTAACTGAGGGTCAGAAAGGGAAATGACTGGCCTATGGCCACACAGCTATTTAGTTCTAGAGCTGGGATGAGAACACAGGGGCTGCTGGAGGCAAGCTGTTGTCATCATCAACATATTCATTGTCATCATCATTATTTCTGGCATGGGATCTTTCATGTGGCAGGCCTGCAAAACACATTCGCTAAAAGCAAATGTCAAATTCAGAAGGAACCTTAGAGAGCCATTGAGTTTAGCCCCCATATTTTACATTTGAGAAAACTGAGATCCAGAAAAGGAAAGTGACTTAATGAATGAATTAATGCCATAGCTGAGAACCATGACTGGGAGCACAATCTGGGTTTCCCTCAAACTCCTAATTCGGTGCCTTTTTTCCCTCACTACACTATCTCTTCATTTGTCAAATGAGCAAAGGAATGAGGGAATTTCCAAAAAGTGCTGATCCAACTCCCTTATTTCACAGATGAGGAAACTGAGGCACAGAGAGGGAATGTGGTTTGCCAAGGAGTGTGGACTAAGTTCCCAGCCCTATCACTGATTCTGAGAGATTCCATCCCATTTGTCCAACATTGTTTTTTTGTTTGTTCATTTGGTTGGTTGGGGGGGGACGGCCCCCAGGTTTTCTTATTGACCATATTGGGCACGCAGTCCAGAAAAGCCACCAGATCATTTTCAGAGAAACTGTTGCCTAGCCTTAAATGATTCCTCTATCTTGTATCTGTGAAGTTCATTTGTTTGAACCCAAAACTTTGCCTTTATCCCTATTAAGTTTCATCCTCTTGGATTCTGCCCAATGGTCTCTTGGGATCTTGGGTCTACCATTCAACGCATTAGCTATTTTCTTCCCCAGCTTCATGTCATCAGCACATTTCACACAGGTATGCCATCTACTGTATTCTATGTCTTGATGCAAGTGCCTGAGAAGAAAGTTAAGTGGCAGAGCTGCAGCTGAGCTCAGCCCATTGGGATATTCCCCCTGGAAACCTCATTCCAAGTTGATATTGAACCACTAATGAGTATTTTTTTGTACCTGGACATTCAAACAGTTCTAACTCTATGCAACTGTATAGTCATCTAGCCACAGTACTCTACCTTGTCCACAAGAATTGCACATGAGACTATCAAATTCATTGTTTTAAAAATGATATCAGGAATGTGCCATCCATGCTGAATGTCTGTCATATGACAGTATATTCCTCCTCCATGAACAAATATATACATGCCCTTTAGAGGAGAGACCCTCCATAGATGTACAGTCTTTGGTGTTCTCCTATTTTCTCTGCCCATTTGGTATAGCAGACAAAGTCATCATGGTGAAGCAAAAAGAACCCTGAATTTGGTTGGATTCAAGAGATTCCAGTTCAAGTTTTACCTCTCACACATGCTATCTATGCAGTCACAGGCAAGTTACTTGACTGCTCTGTGCCTCAGTTTCCTGACCTGTAAAATGGAGATAATGATCCTTGTACCACGTCCCTCATAAGGTTGTTGGTTTTAGAGTGGAAAGGGACCTAAGAAGCCATCTTATCCCTCCCCCCTCATTTTATAGATGAGGAAACTCAACTCCATAGACTTTAAGCGATCTTCCAAAGGTCTCACAGTTTCCAAGTGTCAGAATATGGATTGAAACTCAGGTCCTCCAATTCCAGATCTATTACTTTTTCTACTGCAGCATGTTTTCTTCTCTTTTGAAGAAAGTGCTTTGTTAATGCTAAAGTATAATCATAATCAGAGCTAGCTGTTGTTACTAATAGCAGCCTTCAGGCTCATCAGCCCCCATACATGTATCCCTGCCACCCAACCCTGACCCGTCCACAGGGTCTCTTCCTGCTGCTCTGATGGGCACAAGATTCCAAATGTGAGCCTATCTGGCAGACTTTTGGAAGTATATGTCAGGAATCATTTATTTTGAAGTCTATCCCACAGCCTTCCTGGGGTCACATCACCCACAGATACAAGACAGCTTTGCCCACACTAGGCAACTTTTAAAAAATGAAATTAGACAAGTTTTGGAGGCCAAACCTTCTGCTGTTAACTCCTTTGATCAGCAGCGAGTCCTTTAGAATTTTAACCAAAGTAAGTGCCCTCCAAACCACACACACACACACACACACACACACACACACACACACACACCTGGCCCATCTCCTCTACGCTGTCAACCTCAATTATGTCTCTCTTGGGACCTGGCCTTGGCCTTTGCTGGAGGCATAAAAAGTGCTCCCCTCTCTTGCTTTGTGGATAAAATTGTGAGACTCTTGGCTTACTACTTTTAACACAACGTTTGGAGTCAAGAGATGGGGAAAGGAAAGAACATCATGAAAAAGCAAATCAATTGCCAGTGTTGGGTTCAAATAGGTATAATCTTGCCACAAGCTACTCAACATTCCAGAGGCAGGGAGACACTCCAAAGATTAGGGGACAGGGATAGCAGAAGCCAAAACCAGAGACTTTGTGCATGTGCATGGGGCAGAAGAGTGAGATGGGGAGGGACTTAGTAGTAATATGTGCAGTGGAAAGAGCATTGGATTTGGAGTTAAAAGACCTTGCTCTGTCACTGATCCTTGCCACTCCCTTCGCCTATCCACTCCATCCCAAACTTGCATTGGGTAAAGTCTCTTCCCTGCTCTGGGTCTCAGTTATTTCATCTATAAAATGAGAGGGGTAAACTAGAAGATCTCGTTAAGGTCCCAGCCAGCTCTATGATCTTATAATGATCCTTCCCTCCTCCCATATGTGCCCTGCTTTCCAGATTACAAAATCTCTTTTCAAGGTCTTTGTCTTTTTTGAGACCCATACCATTCATTCACTCTTCCTCCATCCAAGAAGCAATTCAACTACCATCATCCATTCCCATTTAAATATAAGGAAACTGAAGCTCAGAGAGATGAAGAATATTGTAATAACATCATGATGATGGTGGTTATGATGGTGATGATAACAAAAGATGATTTTCGCATCTAAAAACTAGGGCAGCTAGGTGTCACAGTGGATGGAGTACTGAGCCCCTGGAGTCAGAAGATTCATTTTCCTGAGTTCAAATCTGGCCTCAGGCACTTATTGGCTTTGTGACCCTGGGCAATTACTTAATCCCATTTGTAAAAGGACCTGGAGAAGGAAATGGCAAACCACTCCAGTATCTTTGCCAAGAAAACCCCAAAAGGAGTCACAAAGAGTTGGACGCAACTGAAATGACTGAACGATAACAACAAGGTCTAAAAAGATAATGATAACAGCAACAACTTATATTTCTAAAACACCCAAGTCTTATGACTCCACCAACTGCATTGCCTCTGTCGTTATCATCAACATCATTTGACAGATGAAGATATTAGGGCTTAGAGATCTAAAGGGATTTGAACCCAGAATCTGAAGTCCCTTTGCACCCTGAACTTCTGTGATTCTCTGTGGAAGAACTCTGTGTCTTTCCTAGTTGCTTCCTCTACTTCTAGACATGGGGCAGAAAGCTGCTAAGAAAAAGGTTTAAGAACTCATTGGCTTAGTTTAGGGTCAACTGAGTCCCTCAGATCATGTGACTAGTGAGGCTCTCTCTGCCTCTGAACCCCTCCACCCCCGACCAAGATCCGCTCAGAAATGCAGACTCCCTCCCATAACAGACCTCCACTGTCCTGTGAACAACAAACCACAAAGTCTCAGTTTCCCATGCTGAGCCTTGAAGCCACTTTATCACTACTTCTTCTAGAGGGGCAAGTAAAGCGACTCCTCTGTAGTATGTACAGACAGAGCCACAGCCACAGCTGGTTGGGGGTGTGGGTGTGCCATTCATAATCTCCCCAGAATGCTCCCCAGGTATTTCAGTCTCTTCTTTGGCTGTATCAGTGTAAGAGGACTTCAAATCACTACATCATTGCCCTGTGATCTTTGACACAGAGGTGCCCAGAACATTCCAAGGATATGGAGGAAGCAGGTGTCATTAACCTTAGGATACTGACCCATCCGTGAAAGCCAAATCCTTCCTGCTCTGGATTTCTCTATACCCAAACCTTGGTCAGGTCAGCAGTGCAACCCAGCCCACAAGAATCCCTGGGGAATTCTCATAACAGGCAAAACATGCCCACAGACCCAGTAGAATGATACTCAGGGATGCTATGCCCCAGAAGCCACAGCTAGCCAACTGTGACAAAGTACTACTTGTCTCCTTCCTATCTTCTTTCTCTAAGCATTAGGAGGCACCAATCTTCACTGTGATGTGACGAGAGCAAAATATCAGCATGGAAAACCTTTGCTTCTTCTGGTTTTCTGTGCACTGGATGCAGGCAGCTCTGGGTTGGGAAAGATATCTGCCTCAAGGCTATTGGCTACAACCTGTTGCCTTCCCACCCCTGTCTCAGTTGCCCCACCTCCACAAGCTGGACTAACACTTATCTGTCCCGAGATTATCTTTAGAGTTCCTTTCAAATTTTTATGCTATCGACTTATACATAAATCAACAACTTACAATGGACCGAACCAACAGATTTCAGCATGCTGAAGGATTCACTCATAAGATGGTTCATCAGTTCCTGGAAACTGGGGGGAATTACTGCATTGCTGAGCATTGAGATGGACTGGCAATGTGATGTCTGTTGTGTGGACGGGCACTGTAACATTTGCCATGACAATAGGGGCTGTCATATCCGCCATGTGGACAGGCACTGTTAGGTCTGCAGTGCAGTGTGACAGGGCCTGTGAAGTTGGAGTGGACAAACACTCTAGGGTCTGCCATTTGGGTAGGCACTGTGAAGTCTACTGTGTGGACAAGGCCTGAAAAATTGGATGTGTGGACAGGCTCTGGGGGATTTAAGATTTGTACAGACTCTGTCATGTCTGCAAAGTGCACAGAGTCCACACAATTGGCTGTGTGGATGGGCACAGTGATGTCTGCCACGTGGACAGGCACTGTGATATCTGCTGTGTGGATGGGCACAGTGACATCTGCTCCAAGGATGGGTGCCATGATGTCAGCAACATGGACAGGAACTCTGAGATGTGTTGTGTGGATAGGGCCTACATGCTTTTCTGTGTGGCTAGGCATTGTGAAGTCGGCAGAGCGGATGGTCACTGGGCTCTGGGCTGCTATGTACGTAGAGCCCCTGAGGTTGGCTATAGTGTGAACAGACCCTGTGTTTGCCTTCTCTCTGGATGCTGTTGGCACAATGATACTTGCCATGGGGGTTGACACTGTGACATCTGCCTTGTAACTGGACACTTTGGAGTCTGCCTTGGGAACAGTGCCTATGAGCTGCTGTGCCATATGAGTAGGCACTATGAGTGCTGTTATTTGGATAGACTCTGTGATATTGGCCATGCAGACAGTCACTATGACATCAGCCATGCAGACAGATACTGTGACTTTCTTATGAACAGGTACAACATGTGATCTGGGGACAGGCTTTAGGACAGCTGAGTGTGGATGGGCATTGGGACGTCCACCCATGGACAGTGTTTCCTTTCCTTGATGGGGTTCCATGAGTAGTGAGAGAGAAAACTCTTGGCTTGTACCTCAGGTATCACTGAGTCAATGGAGCCCAAAGCTACAGCCCGTCATGGATAGATTGCCATTGTGAGTAAATCAGGGAGGGCTCAGTCCTGACACAGGCAAGACAAACTGGGGCCCCAGTCAAAGAATCTCTACTGTCCTGGATTACATATATACAACATCAACCCTGTGGTGTCCAGGGGCCACAGAATGAAATCACTGGAGTAACAAAAACTCCTTAAGCCCACTGTGAGCATGGTGGAACATGGCCTGGTTCTGTGACTGCATCTGCTGCATATCTAATCTAGCTCAGTTCTACTGTAAGCTCACTCTGAATGGTGGCATAGCACTCACCCACATGGCAGATTTCCCAATGCCCATCCCCATAAAACAGCCAGTCTTCAAAGATCACCAGCTTCGGTTTCTGACACTGCCTTCTACGTTGGTTTTCCATCCCTCCCATTGAGAAAAGATTGGAAGCAGTAAAGTCTGAGCAGCTGGTTACTTTACTACCATACCTGTGCCCTGGTTTCATGTTTCCACAATTCCTTGAACTACTTGTTGTATTTTCACAGAGGTGTGACCATCCCTTTGTCCAGCAATATAGTCTCTATATGCAGTACCTCCTTCCAGTACATCGAACCTGGGGGCTTTGAACTTCTAATTGAACAATTGAGGTAATTTATCCTTATCATGCTGTTTCAAAGTTGAAACTTGACACTGTGTAGTTTTGATGATGTCTCCCTGTGGATGGTCACTGTGACGTCTGATGTGTGGATGGGCTCTGCGTCATCTGCTGTGTGGACAGGCACGGTGACATCCACAGTGTGGATGGGAATGACAATGTCCATCCGTGGCTGGATCTTGAGAATACTGTACTCAGGTGGCGACTTCCAGATGGGGATGGACAATACTCTTTTGAAAGGCACCGTAACGTCAACTGTGTGGAGGGGCACAGTGAAGTCTTTCTCTTGATGGATTTTCTGAAGTGGGAGGGATGTCTGTCTTCCACAGAGCTGGCTAGATCTCTGAGATTTGCCTATGAATGGACCTTGCCATGTGGACAGGCGCTGTGAGATCCGCAGTGCAATTGGCACCTGGGGTGTCTCCGTGTGTACAGTGACAGTGTGGTCCTCCTGTGGATGGGTACCGTGAGATCTACTGAGCTGATGGGTACTGTGACATCTGTTTTAAGAAAGGGTGCTGTGATGTCTGCAGTATGGAAAGGTACTCTAATTTTGGTTGTGTAGATAGGCATTGTGAGAGTTGGTGTGTATACGGGCTCCAGGTAACATATACAGGCACTGTCACTTCTGCCTATGGAAGTCCACTGGGAGAGCTAGAGAATGAATGGGCATTACAGCATCTGTACCATGGATGGACAATGTAGTGTCTGCCATCTGAATGGCACTGAGATGTCTGCCGGTGGGCCGGCACTACTGGTCTTGCCTGGGCAGGCACTCACTGTGATGTCTGCCAGGTGGATGGGGCATTGTGACATCTGTCTATGGATGGGCACTATAACAACAGCCAAAATAAAATGGTCAGTCTCCACATCACCAGCATCAGGAAACATTCTGATACTCTCATTATCTAGGTCTATGTTTAAATGTTGCTGCTACCAGGAAGAGACTGGACGAAGCAGATCTTGGAGGCCTTGCTGGAGTTACTGTCATGCCTACACATTGGTTTCCCTCCATTTTTTTCAATGTCCTGAATTTCTACATCATTGTAAGGATGTGATCACCCCTGACCCCCGACAACTTCCACATCTCACAGAAGACTGGCCCCACTGCCTTCCATGACCCATGACCTAGGGCATTCCAGGTGTTGCTAATTCAGATGTGGTCTCATGGCTGTCCCCAAGCCCCTGCATAGGGCTTCAATAATCGTTAAACCCCCTGAGGTGGCATCAGATGTAGGGCCTGGAGGCACCCATCTTCTACAGGCACCCTGAGTTCTAGGACAACAGTTAGAGAACATAGTGGCAGATTTAAGGTAGATCTACAGAAGAACTTCCTTAGCTATCTGAGCTACCCCCACCATATAACAGGCTGATGCACATCAGCCATAGTTCATCAAACAGGAAAAGAAAGGGAAGGAGAATGAGTAGTTCAGCCTCCTGGCAGCAGCAGTAGGATAACTTATCTCAGCCTGTTGTGTGATGGCTGACTTCTCCATCTCCCACCCACTCCCATGTGCAACTCCTAGAAACCATCTCTGCCTGAACTTCATTCAGTGCCAGGTTTTGATCACCCTTTATTATTTCACTTCAATCTAATAGTCTCCATGACTGTACCAAAATAATAATAGTAGAAATAACAATAACAATAACAATAGCAGAAATAACAATAACAGTACTAATGATAATGATAACTGACATAGTGTTTTAAGGTTTGCAAAGCATTTTTGCAAATATCTCATTTTATCCTCACAATTCTAGGAGATAAGTGCTATTATTATCCCCATTTTATTTTTTAAATTGTACTTTTTTTTGATCAATACATATTTTCTTCCCTCCTTCCCACTCCAACCTCTCCCCTACCTCAAATAAAAGTACAAAAGAAAATAAAAACCCTGTTACAAACATGTAAAGTCAAGCAAAACAAATTTCTGTACTGGCCATGTCCAAAAAGTAATGTCTCATTCTGCACTCTGAGTCCTCCCTATCAGGAGGTGGGTGGCATGTTTCATCATTAGTCCTCTGGAATTATGGCTGTTCATTATCCTGTTCAGAGGTTCTAATTCTTTCGAAGTTGTTTGTCTTCATCATTTTGTTGTCATTGTATAAATTGTTTTCCTGATTCTACTCACTTCACTCTGCATCAGTTCATACAAGTCTTTTCAGATTTCCCTAAAACTGCTCTCTTCATATTTCTCAAAGCACTATAGCATTTATTTGACTTGCGCCATTGGTCCTCTTTGAGAATGAAGGACAAACAACAACAATAATAGTATTTATTTATCCCAGGACATGTATAACTTGTTTAGCCACTTCCCAATTTGTGAATATTCTCCTTGGACCCTTATTCTTTGCCACCTCAAGAAAAAAACCTATAAATAATTTTGTATCTCCGTAATTGAAGTTTGTTTTTCTTAAGACCAATCCCTCCCTTTAATCTAATCTGTATTCCCTCTTCTCCCATTATTTTTTTCCTGTTGAGTGAAATGTATTTTCTGTACCGATCATGCGTGTGTGTGTGTGTGTGTGTGTGTGTGTGTGTGTTCTTCCCTCCTTTATCCAATTCAGATGAGAGTAAGGTGCAAGTGTCAGCTACTTCTCCCATCTCATCCTCCTTATTTAGATAGATGTCTACTCACATGCCTTGATTATGTGGGATAATTCCCTCTAACTTTTCTTTCCCCTCTTATATTCCTCTTCTCCTCTCTTTCCATTCTTCTTCTTATCCTGCAGGATTGAATCAGTCTTGCTACTCACATCTCATCAATACCCTCTGCCCCTCTGACTGGGGGGCAGATCCACCAGTTCTAAAACCTCCATTTAAGGAAGACCAGCACAGTCTTCTTCCCTTTTCTCACCAATAGCACTGGGTTTTTTTTCACTTCTTTGGAGTTCTCCATTGTACCAAGTAACCTCTTCCCCCAATCCTCATCCTCCCCCCTATCCCATAGGCACCACTGTTCAACTTCCTTTTTACGCAATGTCTTCCCCCATTAGATTGTAAGCTCCTTGAGGACAGAGATTGTCTCTCTTTTTATTGCATATGTATCTCCAGTACTTAACATGATGCCTGGCATATAGTAGGCACTTAATAAATGTTTATTGTTGATTTATTATTGACTGATAGTGTTTGACACACAATAGTAGGGGTTTAGTAAATGTCTGTCAAGTGACTGATTGTACAGAAATTCTCCACAAGGAGAATTAGTTGCGCTTTAGTTTCAATGTATTTGTTTTTGGTGAGGTAATCAGGGTTAAGTGATTTTCCCAGGGTCACACAGCTAGTAAGTGCCAAATGGTCCAAGTGTCAATGGTCCAAGGCCAGATTTGACTTCAGGTCCTCCTGACTCCAGGGCCAGTGCTCTAACCACTGTGCCACTGCTGTCTCTCATTGTATTCTTAAAGAAACTAGGTATATAATATTGGGCTAGATACTTCTCTGAGCCTTAGTTTCAGCTGCAAAGTGAAGAGGTTCAGGGGTTCACTAGCTGGCTGTGACCAACCTTTCCAGACTCATGTCCCACGATTCCCTTTCATTGTATTCATGTCGCAGCTGATCTGAATATCAACTATTCCTCAAAATTAGCAGTCTTTGTCCTTCCTTCATGCCTTTATTGATACATCAATAGTGCTCATCTCCATGTTGTAGGATCCTTAGCTTCCTCCAACACTCAGCTCTGATACTACCATCTATAGGAAGCCTTCCCTGATCCTGCTAGTCTAAGAGTTCTATATACACCTAAGATTTCTTTGCTCACACAATATTCCCTCTGCCTGGGATTTCCTCTTCCATCTCTCCACCTGCAGAACTCTTCCCCATCCTTTGACTCTCATCGCAAATGTTGCAATCTCTGAGAATCCTTATTGGATACTAAACTGGTCAATGAGACCTTGCATTGTATAACCTTCTCCTTCGTACCTCTCTCATACACTTACTGTATTATATTGTGCTTTGCTACACTGTTTGAGCTTTATCACCCAGAGGGTAGGGACTATGTCCTGTCTGAGCTTCATATCTTGTCCCACCCCAGCCTTAGTACAGAACTCTGATACACAGGATGCTCGGCAGGTTAGCTGCACCTCTGCAATTAGAAGCCTGGGATTTTGAAAAGGAGACTCACAGCATTTAGAGGTGGAAGGGACTTAGAGATCATTTAGTCCAACCATGGGTGGGGAACCTGCAGCCTTGAGGCTACATGTGGCCCTCTAGGTCCTCAAGTGTGGCCCTCTGACTGAATCCAAACTTCACAGAACAAATCCCCTTACTTTGGATTCAGTCAAAGGGCCACACTTGAGGACCTATAGGGCCTCATATGGCCTCAAAACCACAGGTTCATCTCCCCTGGTCCAAACTCTTTGCAATCTCGTGCCCAGGAGAACCACATCTGGCTGTGACCCAAAACCAGCAGAAAAAAAAAATGGTGCAGTAACACAAGACCAGGAGGGAACACTTCTAGGCAGAGACTTAATGCTTTGTAGAGAATGCAGACCAGCTAGACCAGTGAGGAGCAATCCCAGGGAGGGCAGTGAGATGACATTGATGGCCCTGTAGCCCTGAAGATGTGGGTTGACCCATGTGTATCTGGGCTACGTCTACTCTCTATGTATGTTCCCCTTCATGTATATACTTTGGCTGCACACGCTCCCTAAATTTATGCTTTTCCATGCATGTTTACTATAAGTACAAAATACTTGGACACATTGATGCTTTCAAACTGTCTATTAAACAAAGTAGATGCCCATCAATCAGGAAATGGCTAAACAACTTGTGGTACATGAATGTAATGGAACATTGCTCTGATATAAGAAATGATAAATAGGATGAAGACAGAGAAGCATGAGAAGACTTACATGAACTGATGCAACTTAAAGTAAACAGAGCCAAGAAAACATTAGGCATAACTACAACAATGTAGGAAAGAATGTAAATAAATACCTGCTAATTGAAGATTGATAGGCTCATCCTTTTCTCTGATGATGTGTGTAATTGAAGAAGAGTGTGGCCACGGTTTAGGGGGAAATGTTTCATTGTTTCTTTTCTTATTACACCATTTCATTAAATACCCTTGTCTTAAATTAACTGTTTCCACTAGTTGACTAGAAAAAGTAAATACATTACTGGGGGCTCGTTAGCTATGGCTTTAAGCAGATGCAGATCTACAGAGACCCTTGAACTAGGGCATCCTTGTACGGGAACCAGTGGAGAGTTCCTATGGGGTGGGGGGCCAGATGACACCCTTGAAGATAGCTATCATTCCCACCCCCCACATCCTCACCTCCTTCAATGAATCCTCACATAGCATGAATGTAAAGCTTCTAACTATCCTAGTCTCTGTTCTCTGGATAATCTCCATTTTATCACCGACCTTCTGCTGCCCAGAACTGAACCAAATACCCTAGATATGGTCTGACCAAGACCAACTCTAACTGGATCTCAGTTTTCTCCTGAGTAAAATAAAATGATTGAACTAGTTAATCTTTAAGTCCCTCCTAGCTCTGACATTTTAGGTTCTAAGGCCCCTCCCAGCTCTGACATTCTTTGTTCTGTTTAGGGTCCTTCATAGCATGACTTCAATAACTCTAATTTCCAATGCTTATCTGATGTATTCTTCTCTCCTGCTGGCTTCCCATACCCCTCCCCCATCATATTTAATTCCAGGCGTGGACCCCAGGCAGGCAGCCAGGCAGGCCCCATGGCCACACAGAGGGATCCCTTGAGTTGTTCCCTCCAGCTCCTAGAGCTGATCACCAATCACTTATTCATGGATAGCTCCCCTGCGCCAGCCAGCAGCCTGATGAATAGGCTCACCTCCCCACTGGCCTTATTAACACAATAGAGGGCTTGGCTGCTCCAGTGACCTGCCACAG